CGGCACTTTGATAATGCGGCATCAAAGGTTTTGTACTTACTTCTCAAAGAAATTTGCCGCTTTTCGGAAGTACATGGTTATGATACACGCGCCGGCGGCTTCTTTTGAAATCTAAAACAATCGTTGCCGCCACGCCGAAATCATAACATTTGACACTATTTGATTGCCGCCATAGGGTGTAGGTATACTCATGCAAAATAATTTCGAATTTTTTTACACGCTTTATATTATTGTTTGATTTGCGGCGGCATCCTTATCATAGAGCCGGCACGTGGCGAGGCGGCGCGGTAGAAAGCAAGGATCATAAATGTTTATTAAGAAACAGTTACTTCCATGGAAAACGACATATAGGTCAGTTGATTTTTCGAATTTCTTATCAAATCTTCAGTTATTTATTAATCTGCTTGATCTTTACTATGGCTATATTCATTCAAGCTCACAATGTTCCAATTCTAATACGTTTTTCTAGGATTTAAAGTAAACTTTAATAAATAGTAATAGACTAATAGGTAATTGCAAGACTTGCAAGACTCTTGCTGCAAGACCAAGACCAAGACCAAGACTGGGAGCGCAAGACCAAGACCAAGACCAAGACCAGGTGTATTGGCGCAAGACCAAGACCAAGATTGGCTAAGTCTCGTCTTGTTCTTGCGTTTGGGCAACACTAATTGTGCTCATATTTAATGATAGGGCTTTCCATATTCTGTGTTATATTCAATTTCTAGTTATTCACCCCCGCTAAAATAATATTCACCAGTTTACCTGTTTGTAGATAGAGTTCATAGTACATTAAGAATTAGACATTCAGATTTCATCTTTCAAACAAGTAAGTTTTGCTCCAGTAAACATCCAAAATAGTTTCCATTGTCGGACGAGTTTGATAGTTTTAATTTAGACGTTGAAATTTAGTTTTATTGATTAGAATAGAAGTTCAAGTAAATGTTTTAAATAAAACAGTAAATTTTTATTCTTCATCGAAATCACGATCCAATTTAACTATGTAGTTGCACAATATTAATTTGGCGTGCAACGTACAACGTTTGTACACTGCTTTATACAAATTTCTTTAAAATTTTGATTCTGTACATATTTTAACAATAGGAGGTATAAATAGCTGCATAATATTTCTATGATTTGTGAATGCAACTATATACTACATTCGTTTTGCGGATTGTGTTAATCTATTTATCTGCTTATGAATATCTACTCCTATATTCTTTATATTCGCGATACACCCCATGCTGTTTATGAGTCATCTTCTATTTTTCCGACTTTAAGGTTTGCAAGATTTTAAAATATATCAAAATCTTTATGTACGTATATAAAGTAATTGGGAACTGCGACAAATATCCGGCCTGAGACAGCGAACAAAATTACAGCTCTAGAGATATTTTACATAAATTATTAGTACATATAATACTCAGAGATCATGAATTTAAATCTCTGTTTCTACCAAGATACGATATACACATACATATATATACGTGAGGTTATAAAATCTGTAAGTACAACTGACGCACCAATTTACCGACGAGTACTTTTTAACGAGAGATATGCTGCAGTTAAGAAAAACAAGAAACAAGAAGTTGACTATTTTTCATGTGGGCTTAGGTAGACTTAGACTGGTTTTAATTAGGTACGAACATAACTGGCTAGTACGTATAATGTCCATATAAAATAATGCAGACGCCTTTCATTTCAACTAAAGAAGGTACTTCGACTCTTTTTATACGAAAGTATGCACGCATTTTTCTTGCACATAAAAAATTAAAATTAATTAGCCTGTGAAATGAAGTGAAGAGCATGAAGACTGCACTTCTAGTTTGTAATCCGTTTCTGTTGAATTAAAAATTGCAAATAAGCTTAAACTTTACCGGTTGGCTCTCAAACTGTCTAGTACCCGTAACTTGCATATCAAATTGCTTGTGAGATGGCTATGACGTGATGTAGTGATCTAATAAGTCCTTTACTAGGGCTGAATACTAGGAGATGATTCTAGGATCAAGAACGTATGGACAAATTCTCTAGGATAAAGGAAATTTTCTTTCAGTTGAAGGGCATTTTTTAGATTAAAGAACATTTCATTTGATGAGGGTAATTTTCTAAGATGAAGGATATTTTCCAGGACAAATGATATTTTTTAAGATGAAGGATTTTTTTTAGGACGAAGGACTTTTTTGGGTTAAACCACATATTTTAGGATAAAAAGGATTTTTCAGGTTGAAGGACGTTTTCCAGGATGATAGATATTTTCTAAGCTGCAGGACACTTTCTAGGATAAATACATATAAAAAAATTAAATTAATTAGTCTCTAAAGTAAAGTTAAGGATATGAAGACTACATTAAATTAAAAATTTCAATGATATCTGTAACTTGTACAAAGGACGTATGAACACATCTAGGATAAAGGACATTTTCTAGGATAATGGAGATTTCTTAGGCTGCAGGATATTTTATAGAATAAGGGACAGTTTGTAAGATGAAGGAAATTTTGTAGGATGAAGGATCAACGATATTTTCTAGGACGAAAAACATTTTTTATAGGGTGAAGGACATTTTCCGTTGTTGCATGAGCAAATCCGTCAGAGTGATTCCTCTTTGTGCTGTAATTATGAATTAATCTTAGTTATTAATCGTTGTTTAATTTTGATTTAGTTTTCTCTATAACAATCCCATGTAGTGAAATATATAAATGTCTTAAAACTCAGCCTTTGAAACTGAATAACATTGAATCAGTAATAATGCTTTTATAGTTTATTTAGCATCACTCCTACCACAATAATTTAAAATAATAATCTGTCCAAATTTGGTGATATGTACAATTATGTATTTGCAGTTACGTGAATTGTCTGTAGTATCCGTAATTTGTGTACTAAATTGATTGTATAATGGCTATAATATAGGGCAGCATGATGACCTAATAAGCTCTGTATCCGACCGAACACCAGGAGGTGATTCTAGGATGAGGGATAACTACTTCCTCTTTCTGTAATCAACTGCTCTCCCGTTCTACTGGCTCATATATTACAGTTAATAATCCGTCCAAGAATGTTATATTCACGACATAATAAAATTAGGTTACGTAAAATCTAATTTTGAAGATTGTAATATGCACCACGTTTCAAGTATATTCTACAAATAGGTATATTACTAAAAGATATAGAAGTGGGACTTCTACTTTTGGATACTTTTCAAATTGCTTTCTAATACGCACAGGATTATCCCTAAATTTTTCTTGTTTTGATGTTTGACAAAATTTCTAGAACGAATAAAAAACAAATTTTCTAAATTCTCTTTTTTAAGAAGGGCTACATTTTCAGTCAGATTTCGGGATTAATACAAAAAATGGCCTTATGACTCATGAGGCAGAGGGACAATTAAAAGGGTTAAACACTTTTGACTTGAAATTTCAATTTTCTGTAGGTACATTTATTATGATAAGGGAACGATAGATAGAGAAGGTTAGAAAAGAGGACTCTATGGAAGTAAATAAGAAACAGGCGAGATAGGCTGGTAGGACACCATCTCAGGCATGAAGGTCTAGTCAGAGATATATTAGAGACAAAAACAGGAGTTAGGAGGAGTAGAGGTAGACCTAGATTAGATTGTGACTGTGGCGATATCCACCACATGTTTGAAAATTGTTTCATTTTGTTTACATATTGTAAATACCTTTCTAAAATATTTCTTTTCTATTTTCGATTAGTGTCTATAAAAATTCCTTCCTTTTGTAAATAATCTATTGTATCTTGCTTATCTATTTAAATAACTCTATTACTGTACTTTCCTATAATCCCTGTAACATTTCATCTTTTGTGTACTAACCGCATGACGTCTGTACCTTTCATTCCTTCCTAATTACATTTTTAGAATCGGTTTCTTCGGTGGTTGACTGGCCATCAATT